GGGGCCCCCCCAGACGCGCTGCGGTCCCGCCGCCCGGCTCCTCCGCGGCTTTGCTCCGTGTCTCCCTGGTCTGCTGGGTGGGGGCCCCCCCAGCAGACCAGGGAGACGCAGAGCAGGTTTTCTCGCTCCGGAGGACGCGGGCGGCGGGACCGGGCGTCCCGCCGCTCCCGTCATCCGGGGCGAGAAAATTCCCGTTTGTAACTGCGGAACCGACATAAGTCGGATCCGCGTAACTCGGGGACTGCCTGTACACGTAATTATACTGAAGAATCAATAGATAACAAGTAAACTGAAGTATATAGACAACTGTCATTTTTATTTATGAATACCAGGCGATGTGTTACAAGGCATGTTCTGTTATTCTGAACCAATATTTGTAAATTGATGAAAGTGGTAGTGCCATAAAATTGCTCCTAAATTTAAAGAAAGAAAGAAAAAAAGAAGAAACAACAAGAAGAAACTCTACTGCCATTGTGTGTGAAAATCTGATTTTTCCTATGTAGTCAAATGTAGAGCCCCATCAGAGTTTGCTTCCCATATGAAGTATAATTAAAAATCTCAGTTCTCACTGAGACAGTGGCATCCTAGGGACTTACTGAAGCAATGAAGGCATTTTAAGGACTGTACTGCAAATATCTGACTAATTATTTGAAGTTATCTTTCAGGCTAGCTGTCCTATATACAATGTAGTCATCTCTTGCTGTTTAAAGAGACTTTGTGTATTTTTGCTGTCATGAGGCCGCGGGTTCATTTTCAGTACAGGCAGTCCCCGGGTTACGTACAAGATAGGGACTGTAGGTTTGTTCTTAAGTTGAATTTGTATGTAAGTCGGAACTGGTACATATTTTGGGGGGGGGACGGGGAGCTGGAGTTAGGTGGAAAAGACCCTGATTCTCATACAACTTCCTTATTCTAAGAAAAACACATACTGTTTTGTTATGAAGGTTTTTTTGGTTGATATTTTAATTAAAAATTGATCATAAGTTTCAGTGTTTCATGTTATATCCAAATCTTCCTTTTGGGGTACCTGAAAGATCCCAGTTATTCATTTAATAGTCAGAATCTTTGTTTTTTATAACTAAAAAAAGTTTATTCAATGCATATTACTGTTCCAAATAGAATTTGCTACAGATGGTTCAGTGAAATGGGTATTAAGTGTAATCAATAGTCATTGGAGAGCACAGTGAAATATTGATGCAATCCAAGCTGTTGTTGTATTCTGCTGAGCAGAAAATGGAAATCCCTTCCTGTGAAGTGTGTGTGTGAATTTATCCACAGGATTAATTTTAAAGAAAAATTCTGTGTTGGGAACAGGAGTTTAGCCACAGGTGGGTCCTCATTGTCCACTCACCCACTTTGCAACCAGACCCATCCCCTTGGGGCTTACCCTGCTCCGCTCCAGCCAGGGTGTGAGGTTGGGGCTTATCCCCTCCTGCCCATTCTTGCCCACCCACACCACTGGGTAATTTTTCAGCTTCACCTCTGCCAGGCTGGAAGAAACTTGTTAATTTCACGTGACGCTAACAAGATACTTGCAGCTCTAGTGCTGAAGAGGGAAAGACCTGTTGCTCCCAAGGTGGAGACTGTAACACAATGGGTCTCACTGCCTGCTGCTCCTGCTGTTCCCTAGGAAATTAATTTTTCCGCTCTGGGGTGCCCCCTTTTGGCTGGTGTCTTGTTCCCTCCAGCAGACCCACATCCTCCGCGGCGAGAAAAGCCGGTGTCTGCTGAGAAAAGCCGCTCCGCGTCTCCCTGGTCTGCGGGGGGGAGCGCTAGCTCCGCATCTCCCTGACCTGCTGGGGGGAAATGCTTGCGACAGTGGGGGAGGCACTAGCTGCGCCAGTGGGGGAGGCACTCCGCACTAGCTGCGCCCCCCTACCCCGTTTGTAACTAGGGATCCGATGTAAGTTGGATTGATGTAACCCGGGGACTGCCTGTATTGGTATAATATAAAGAGAATTATTAGAAGCAAGCAGGGGAAATTGGTCTGGCACAAATTCAGTCATTACTTGCTCCACACCAATTTGAGTTTTTTTCATTTCTGTTCCAAAATGCAACAGAGATAAGAAATTCAAGTTTCTATACTTGAAACTCCACATGGAGAGCTGATGGGTGGTGCTGTCTGTGTGGGCAACTGAATTTGTGGTGGCTTGAGTTTTCCCACCTACTCTATGTTCTCGTAAGTCATTAAAGCTAGCAATAGTAGGAACCATTCGAAAAGGGATAGCTAGTAAGAGTAAATATCATAATGCCATTATATATAATAAGCTAATAAACTTAATATCTTAAATACTGTGTGCAATTCTGGTTCTCCCATCCCAAAAAATATATATTTGATGTGGAAAAGGTGCAGAAAAGGGCAACAAAAATGATAACATGTATGAAACAGCTTCTATATGAGGAGAGATTTAGAAGCCAGACAATTCACCTTGGAGATGAGATGACTAAGATGGGATAAGGTAGAGGTGTATAAATGGTTTGAATAAGAAAGTGTTATTTATCCCTGCACAAAACCCAAGAACCAGTGGCTACTCAATGAAATTAATAGGCAGGGGGTTTAGAGCAAACAAAAGGAAGTTTCCTCACCTAATGCATAGTTTACCATGGAACTCATTGATGGGGGACATTGTGAAACCCAAAAGTCTGGTTGGATTAAAAAGAATTAGATAAATTCATGGAGGATGGGTCCATCACTGGCTATTAGTCAAGATGGTCAGGGTTATACAATCTCATGCTCTGGGTGTCCCTAAGTCTCTGCCTGCCAGAAGCTGGAACTGGATGAAAGGAGATAGATCATTCAATTGTTCTTTCTGTCCAGTCCTTTGAATCTGCTGGCATAGGCTACTGTCAGAAGATAGGATAACTAGGTCTGACCCATATGGCCCTTTTGTAATCTTATGAGAGAGCACATGCTAAGGAATAGTTTGTGGCAGCAGTATTCATGTGCTTTTCTTGAATCTAATCTGTGCAGATAGCAAAGGCTGTTAAAATAAATCTTTTAGCTCGAAAAAAGGGTTGCAGCCAACTGTAATCTCGTAGGATGAGAACTGTCTGCTTTTCTTGTGACACTGAATTAATAGAGCTGATACTGACCCTTGAGGAGAGGTTTAGGCTGATAAGTGGGGACCTGGACTGAAATTTTACAAAGAGGTCCAATTCTTAAACTTTTGTTTATGATTTAAAAGAAATTTCACAGCCAGATACAGTTTAGCATATTCCCCACTCTCAAAACTTCCCTATATTATAAAATAAAGGAACAAAACTGGACTCCTTAATATCATACATTCTAGGGGAGATTGCATTATTTGTACAGATGATCTGATAATATAGACTGGAAAATTTATAATAAAATAAAACAAGGCTTCTGTAATTTCATAAAATCTTTTCTCTCCTCACAAACAGCTGCAGAAGAATTGCCTTCTTTTACTATCTAGTGTCAGGATTCTTCAAGATGTTCCATTTAACAGGTAAGTGACAACTCAGGAAATTGAAATAGTATGTCGAGCATCATGTGAAGTGTTTGGAACATAAACTTGATTCTCTTTATTTTTGTAAATCGTAATTTTCCCCTTAAACTTTCTTTTGGGGGTCCTCAATTAACTAGATTTCTGAACTGTCCTTAAGAAACAGGTTTGCTTTTCAGAGCCTGATTCTGGTCTTGCTTTCAAATTCATAAATTGGAGCTGATGGTGTTATTAATACAAGTCACTGGAGCTGATGATGATGTTAATACAAAGCTGGTGGGAGATCAGACTGGCAGTAAAATCTTGACCCAATTAGAGTTGAGTTACCAAAATTCTTGTTGACCTCAGCAGGGCCAAGTTTTCAAGGTTTCTAACTGCCTGGACATGTGCATCTCTGGGAGGGATGAGAAGTTTCCTTGTATATCACATCCTAGAATCTGAGTTGAAAGGTGAAATATAAGTTTTGTGTAACTTACACTTTGCTGTCATAATCTAGGTTTGAAGCTGCCAAACTTGTAATGCAGTGGCTGTCTAACCATGAAAATCAAAATATGCAAAGGATGGCAGTGAATATCAGCTCTATTCTAGCTTTGAAGGTAAATCACTTAATTTTGGAAATGTTCAAATTTCTGTTTCTTAATTTCCAACAGATATTTAACATACTCATCTAACCTTATTTTCCTGCAGCTTTCATCTGAGCAAACAGCTCAACTTAGTGCAGAGCTCTACGTCGTTGTGGGGGTGAGTTGCACATCTTTGTGACATTCTTTACCACAAGGTATTAAACAAACATGAAGTGAGAAATGACTCTATGCTGAGCAACACACATTTGTACAGCAAAGAGCAGGATGGAGCTGTAGGTCTTTGGAAGCTTTCATAATACAGATATGAATTACTGCTAATGTCTGCAACTAGAATCAAAGCTGATATCTAGACCCTTATAGTTTGTTTTTCCTTAACAGGAACTTCTTGAAATAGTTGAACAGAAAACAAATCTAAATGAAGTAGATACTACTTTCATGTTTACACTCAGTGCACTTTGGAATCTCACTGATGAATCCCCTACCACATGCAGACACTTCATTGACAACCAAGGGCTAGAACTCTTCATGAGAGTTTTAGAGGTGAGAATATGCCTGTTGGTGATAGATTGCTAGCACACATTGAAACTCTGTTTAATGATTATTTTTGTTTGTCTTGACAGTGTTTTCCATCTGATTCATCTATACAGCATAAAGTTCTTGGCCTTCTGGTAAGATCAGAATCAAGTTCTGTTTTAAAAATGAATGTTTCTTTTCTATTGCTTTTTCTACTTTTACTTAAGAAATGCCTGGAGAGAATAATTTCACTTACATTTAAATGTATCAGCTTGTATGCTTATGCACTGTTTCTGAGTATCATGTTTGCATGACACTGGTGATTTTCTGAAAACCAGTTTACAGCATATGGATTAAAATAGGAATAACCATTCAGCAGTCAACACATTTCCTTCAGTACTTCAGCAGAGGATTAGGGGAGCAATCAAATGAGTACAAGTACCTAAGGTCCAGTTCTCTGCTACTGCTGAGCTTGGTGGGAAAACTCTTGTTGAATTGTGGCTTGGACTGAAAATTAGGCAATATAGCAAAATATGTACTGTAGGTCAGGGGTTTGGGCTTTGTTCTTTTACTTCAATTTGATTTTTAAATATTGAAGCATTCTGAGAACTGTGTTGTTATAGAAAATGGGAAGTATAAGGACTATGATCCATTAGAAGAAATCACCCTAATTTATTTATTATAATGCTTGTGAATGTTGTATATGCTATTTACATTTTCTTTGCCTATTCTGTTTTACAGAACAATGTAGCAGAAGTGAGAGAGCTTCAGTATAAACTAATGTGGAAGGACTTCATAGACTGTCTCAGTGAATTACTGTGTAGTGCTGAGATAGAAGTCAGTTTCTTTTCAGCTGGGATTATTGCTCATTTACTATCTAGAGGCGAGCAGGCCTGGACACTGAGTCAAATACAGAGAAAATCTCTTATTGAACAACTGGTATGCTGGCTAAAACTGATACTCTAGTTTTATTCTGATGCAATATTTGTGCTGTTTATTGTAAATATTTTAGTACTTAATTTTGTATCTTTACAGCATTCAACCATTTTGAAGTGGCCAACACCAAAATGTAAGATGGTAGCATTGCTTGCCTACAGGTAAGGAACTCAGAATAATGTCTTGAAAATATGAATAAAATGTCTAAGTCTACACAACAAATCTGTTAATGCATTCCAGAATATCTGACAATGCATTCCAAAATAGTAGCTTTTTTGCAACTGTGACCACATTTAGATCACATTTCCTTTAGTGTGCCTTTAAGTGTGTCACATGGGATTGTGTCATTTTGATTTTATAATGTCTGCTTTCTCCCCTCCCCCTCCAATACATCAATAATCATGTCAAAGAGGAAAATTAGGTTTATTTTGCACAATTTTTTTTCTTGTCAAATTCATGTTGACAATTATTTCTTACCTGTAGAGGCTTACAAATCAATGGTTTTTAATAATTAGTTCCAGTAACTTTCCAGGTGATAAAAATTAGGCTGTTCTAGAATTCTCTGGATTCTCTTTGTTCCCCCTTTTAAAGATATGTTTGCCCTTTTCCTGTCATCTGAGGCCTCACCCACCCTCCATATATTCCAGAAGATAGTTTAATAAGAAACTAATTATTGATGCTCTTATAATGTGACTAGAATTGGAAGCCATATCCCATAGGAAGGTGTACCATTGACTTCCATAATGGTTTTACAATATCTTCAGTAGTATAGTATTTCCTATCCCATTGATACTTTTTTTGACTGCTACTCTTGAGTATTTCTTGAGTGTTTAATATTAAATCCAAAAATGTGTATGAGAATACCTAAAGCTTAATGTGCAGTGGCACCATAGTTACTGTGAAATAAAGGTATCTGGTATAACCATGACGTTACCGAATATATTTCTTTTTAACACATAGATCCTTCAGTCCTTTCTATCTATTACTTGATTGCTTCACGATACCTGGAGTTCAGCTGTGGGCAGTGTGGGCCATACAGCATGTCTGCTGCAAAACTCGTATGTATTCAACTTTACAGTTTAATCTTTTAATATGAAATTGGATGGTTCTCATGTTCACCCTTAAGTCTGTTGGATAAATACATCAAACTTTAACTCAAGCGGTGAGGAATCCTGTGGCACCTTATAGACTAACCGAAGTGTTGGAGCATAAGCTTTCGTGGGTAAAGACCCACCTCATCAGATGCATGTAGTGGAAATTTCCAGAGGCAGGTATAAATATGGAGGCCAGAATCAGGCTAGAGATGACGAGGTGGATCCAAATAGAGAGGATGAGGCCCACTTCTAGTAGCTGATCTGGAGGTGTGAATACCAAGAGAGGAGAAGCTATTTTTGTAGTTAGCTAGTCATTCACAGTCTTTGTTTAATCCTGAGTTGATTGTGTCAAACTTGAAGATGAACTGTAGCTCAGCAGTTTCTCTTTGAAGTCTGGTCCTGAAGTTTTTTTGCTGCAGGATGGCTACCTTTAGATCTGCAATTGTGTCCAGGGAGATTGAAGTGTTCCCCTACAGGTTTTTGTATGTTACCATTCCTAATATCTGATTTGTGTCCATTTATTCTTTTACGTAGGGACTGTCCAGTTTGGCCGGTGTATATAGCAGAGGGGCATTGTTGGCACATGATGGCATATATTACGTTAGTAGATGTGCAGGAGAATGAACCAGTGACATTATGGCTGATCTGGTTAGGTCCTGTGATAGAGTGCTAGTGTGTGTATATATGCGCAGAGTTGTCACTGAGGTTTGTTGTATGGATTGGTTCCTGAGTTCGAATTATTATGGTGCGGTGTATAGTTGGTGGTGAGAATATGCTTCAGGTTGGCGGGTTGTCTGTGGGCGAGGACTGGTCTGCCTCCCAAGGCCTGTGAAAGTGAGGGCTCATTGTCCAGGATGGGTTGTAGGTCACTAATGATGCGTTGGAGAGGTTTTAGCTGAGGACTGTAGGTGATGGCAAGTGGTGTTTTTGTTGGCTAGCTAACTACAAAAGCAGCTTCTCCTCTCTTGGTATTCACACCTCCAGATCAGCTACTAGAAGTGGGCCTCATCCTCCCTGATCGGATCCACCTCGTCATCTCTAGCCTGATTCTGGCCTGCATAATTATACCTGCCTATGGAAATTTCCACTACATGCAACTGATGAAGTGGGTCTTTGCCCACGAAAGCTTATGCTCCTACACTTCAGTTAGTCTATAAGGTGCCACAGGACTCATCGCTGCTTTTGCAGATTCAGACTAACACGGCTACCCCTCTGAAACTTTTAACTCTTCATTCTTTGCTATACCTGTGAATTCTTACTTAAACAGGGTTTATTTTAGATTGTAAACAATAGTCTCACACACTGAATAAATTAAAACATTGTAGCAAGCTGAGAGATAGTATCTTGGTTTTTAAATTGATCTGTTTGGGGATAATAGGGTAGTAAATAAAATGTCCTGTCAGGATGAATTTCCCTTTCATATAAATCTTCATGAGTAAATAATGCAATTCTGCAAACAATGTATTCTCTTTAAATTGAAAATCAATCCCGTAGAGTTCACAGATATTATTTTACCCGAGTCTCATTGCTGCTTGCTTGGTTTTCTCATGTTTGTGTATGTGTATATATATATGTGAGGGTTAGTGCATGTGTCATTCATATTCATCAGATTGCTTTTGGAACTTTGCTGTTCTGCCCTTGAACATTTATTAAGGTAGCCTCCTTAGCATCATATTGAATTGCAATTTTTATAAGGAATATTTCTGCATAAGGAGCAGTTAACAAAATTATTTGGGATGTGTTCATTTTGATATCCAAAGTGTTTGGAAATTATTAACAATATTTTGGTATATACAACCAAGTTTTTATCTTAAAGTGGGATGATATCAGGATACTTACTCTTAGAATATAGGAGGTAGACTCTGTGGCAACATCATGCTATCATGATTGCAGAGTAGCTTTAAAGAGTAATAGTATGGAGTCAGCCATCTGCTTATGTGTGCGCTAAAGTCAATGACTTAATTAGCAGCCTTTTTAAAACTCAGTTTTTAGTTTGATTCAGAATTCTGTTCCAGTTCATTTAACTGTATCTGTTTTATTACTTAACAGTTTTATTACTGTACGTATGGTATTTCCAAAAGCACTAGGTATTAGCCTTTTTCTGCTCTCATTGACATCGTCATAAATTGGAACTATCAGTCTAATGCTGAGTACTATCTAAAATCCTATTGACTATTGTGCATGACAATATAACTGCATCTATAATTATGTAGTCTAAATATTGGCTGAACTAAGAGGCAGCATAACTGGGTTAGTTAACACTTGATTTCTTTTTCTTCTAATGTAAATTATCATTTTGGCATTCTTAGCCAAGTCCCCAATAAAAATATTCTCTTTCACTTTCAGCTGCCAGGTACTGTAGTATGTTAATTGAAGAAGGTGGATTGCAGCACTTATATGACATCAAAGAAAGCAATCAGACAGATCCAGATGTCCTGCAAATCAACAGTGCGATACTAGACACTGTAGAGACACACATGATGTACTATGGGAGACCTAAATTTTTAAAGAAGCCACAAACCAAATCAAATGGATAGCTCCTGATAGAACTTCAATTTTTCCTTTATTATAATTCTTCACAAACTGTATTGGGAAGATCTGGTACTACTGATCAGTGCTTGAGAAGGTCATTCCTATAAGATTACTGCTGCTTGCATTGAGGGCTTGTACAGCAAGAGACCTCTAAGAATGGTTTATTTGTGACTTGACTTCTGAGGCAGGACATGAGGCTTTGGGATAGATTTTTTTCAAAAAATATTTAGATGCCTAAGATGTAGATAGGTATATAGATTCTTCTGAAAATCCCACTAGATGCTTATCTACATCTTCAGGTGCCTTAAACACTTTTAATAATCTGGCTCTTCACCATTTCAGTTACTGTTTGGAAGTTGCTCCCAAGTGATTCGTTGTGTAGGACATGAACATAACACTATGTGCTTGCAAGTCAGCATTTCTACACTCAAGTCTTTGTGCTCACTTCTCAGTCTGACCAGATTTGCACCTGTTGAAAGGCCATCCCAAACTGAGTCTTCAAAACCACTTGTAAACTGTGTCCCTTTTCTAGTCTTGCCAATACTGGACCACTATCCTATTCTTTACATGCTGCATCAACAATGGTTGAAATGACACTTGAGGTATACAATAGGAATAGGCAGGAGAAGCTTGAAAAATTAATCAGGAGTGAGTAGAAAGCCTCTTCACATCCCATCCCTACTAAACAAGAACAAACCAAACATGAAATTCACTGGTTAAAAAAAAATACCTGAGATTACTTGTTCCATAATATTCAATATATTTGCTCCACTAACAGGCAGACTAACACTTGTTTTAGCATTTCCAAATTCTGTCTTTAGCAGTGCACACATTTTACTGCTGATTTTACAGTTCATGGGAGGGTAGAATCTGATTATTTTGTGCAACGAATTACAGTCCAAAATATCACTAACATTGTATGTAAATCTCATTGCTATTAAATTGTAAATTCTAAATTATAATAGGAGTCTTCTAAAGACTTTTTAAAGTTTTCATAACATATAAAAAGCAGGTCTAAGAATAACACTTTACACATGTATGGAAATTGGAGTTCTATTGAAACAAATGGAGCTTGTGCAACATGCAAGTCTCTTGATTAAAGTGTAATTGTTTAAGTAAGTGATGCCATGAATTCAGATTTCTGTTGTTTCAGTCTTCCATAAGTGTCAACATTCTGGAAAGATGAGGGTGCTGTGCACTGTCTGAGTATTTGGAAATTCCAGCATGGTTTCCCTTCATCTCAACTCACCTCCTACCCCCCTTTTTAAATTCATATCAGAGTATAGTAAAAATTAATCACACGTATATGGTAATACTGGGTGTTTTGCATATTTATCTTTATCCAAGATAGTTAAGTAAATTTTATAAAATTTGACTCACCTGAAGCATAAATAGTGAGAACTGTCACTTTAAGATTGTTAGAAATGGAAGTAGCGTATCATTAATAGTGCAAGGCATTCTTTAAACTGATTTAATCAAAAGGTTCTTTAATTATGAGCACAGTTTTTAAAATAGCAGGTCTAGCTCTGCTCCTAGAAGCTACTATAGGAACTAGGGAACTACCAGTCTGAGAAGTGTCCCCTCCCATCCCAGCCTTGTAGCTAGCTCCCGCCTATTAACTATGTATTCTAGTTCTTGTTTCATACTCCTAGAATTTAGTGACATGGACATTCACTGCATTTCTAGCTGGCAACCTCAAACTGAGTAAAGTAGTTTTAGGTACTACCCCTGCCAACTTGATATTTCTTTAAATAGAAAATATTTTCACTAACACTTTTCTGTCTCTTTTAAAAAAAATTTTTTTTACATGGAAACTTCTGGTTGTAATATATAGCAAGTTACTGGTTCTTGCCAGCACCAAGTACATCACAGCAAACTACACAGAGTTTTTGTGGTTTACATAAAATACACAGAAAATATAAAATAACTTTGCATTCCAAAAATTGGTAATGAAGAGTTCTGGGTGTAACACTGCCAGAAATTAACTTAGGCCAGATCCCATGGCCAGCCGCAGTATATGCTTTCCCTTCAGGTGTGGACACTTACATGTACTAGGTATGAGGCTAGTTCAGGCATTAAACTTATTTAATGATTTGGCTTCTCTGTTGCAGTTACAATCACGTATAGTGCCCACTTAAAATGAACAGACTAAATCTTTTTGGGTGGACCACTGTACTGGTCTTTCATTCATGGTGAACATGTTTTGGATTTGGGACAATAGCAAACGGTTTTGTCTCTCCTGACCAGTTTAGCGTATAATCCCAATCTCCATTATGACTTCAGTCAATTCATAGCTTTATCAGTCTAAAATGTCTTGATTTTTGAGTTTATGAAACTGTTCAACACCTTAATTATCCTTCTAAAACTGTCTCCAGACCACTGACAGGGGATGGGGACAAAGAGGGCATTGCTTTGAGGCCTGATGATTCAAAAGGGCCTGGAGCTCCTGCTTGCCACATCTGCTATTATGGAAGTGGTGGCGGCCAGAGCTTTAGGTCCTTTAAATCACTGCTGGAGCACTGTGAGACATGCTTCGGGCGTCTGAGGGCTGTGTGTGTGTGTGTGTGTGTACACCACGGTCTGGGTGGCACTCAGGGCTCGCTGCCCCAGCCCCACCCCTGGTGCCCAAGGCCCCCACCCCTTACAGCAGCATGGATCAGGCTCACACACACACACTTTCCCAGGGGCCTGGCAAAGCAATCTGCTCTCCAGTCTCCTGTGGAATATAGCCGTGTCCATAGCAAGAATTAAGCTTGTAGAATTTAATAATTTCAATACATTTGTGTTCCTCCATTTTATTTCCTAAAGAATCATGCCCTGAAATAAGGAAACCCTTGGAGGGCTATTCCCCTATAAACTGGGGTAGGCGTTTCTCTCTGAAGGCAGCCATCCCTTCTTGGCGGTCTCTTGTAGGAATATTCTGCATTTAAAAAAAAAAGTTTCTTTTGTAAAGTTAGGCAGTTAATGCTGAGTTAAAAATCACTGTCAGTGTATTTAGAAGTAAAAGCTTTTAGGGATATTAAATCTACATCTCAGAGGTAAGTAGGTCATCTGCCACATTTTACAAAGAAAAAAATGTAAAGGTTAAATAACTTACAGTACAGAGTGTAGCAAGTGAGTACCTGATGCAGTCCAATGGACAATTTAAGGGAATAAGCCTCCGTTATGTATAGTGGGATTCATAAGCCCACAATTATTCCTTTTGAGGATATAAAGAAAATATGCATGCTCCTGAAATATTGTTTTCAACCTAACCAGAAAGGTTTCTGATACACACAATGCAACAGGAATCTAGTGTCCAACTCAATCAGCCCCATAATCACCACAGTGCAAAGGTGCAATCTAGAAACTCTGTAGGTGGGTACATATGGTTAAAACTGGTAAAACACCCAATATAAGATCAAAGTTAGTTTTGATGGATCAAGTTCTGTATGAGGTAACGATGTTAAACTACAGTTATCTGGCTAATCATCTAGCTGATACAATTTGTATCGACTACGCAATTAGTCAATAAGGCTGCTCTACAGAGCCACAGCAGGGTAGCTCTGGGAACTGGGACTGAGCAGTCCTGGCTTGTGCCGGCTCCAGGAACCACCCACACTGCAGCTCTGCATTTTAAGTGTAGTAAGAGCCACTGAGCTCTTACTACATTAAAATGCAGAGATGGAGCGTCCTGGACTAGCAAGAGCTGGGACTGCTTGGTCCTTAGTCATGCTGAGTCCAGCAGTCCCTGTTCGTGGCAGCCAGGGCTGGCCATGGGCAGGGGCTGCTGCTGGAGCAGCTTTGGCCCATCATGAGCCTTGGTCTGCCATAGCAGGGTGGAGAGGACAGGCAGTACTGCTGAGAAGGTGCTGGGGGAGGCGGGGCCTGGCTTTTAAACCAGCTCCCCCAGCACCAGTTCCTGTTCTCCCCGCCTCTCATACAGAGGCAGCAAGAGGGAGGGAGGGGAAGCGAGTAGTCTCTTAAATATTTCCAGTGATGGAGATTCCACCCTCCCACCCCATGACAATTTATTCCAGTGTTTAACCACTCTGTCAGGAAGTTTTTCCTAATGTCCAACCCAAACCTCCCTTGCTGTAATTTAAGCCCCTTGTGCTTCTTGTCCTATCCTCAGAGGCCAAGGAAAACAATTTTTCTCCCTCCTCCTTATAACACCTTTTTAGATACTCAAACTGTTAGGTTCCTCTCAGTCTTCTCCTTTCCAAACTAAATAAGCCCAGTTCTTTCAGTCTTCCCTCATAGGGCATGTTTTCTAGAACTTTAATAATTTTTGTTGCTCTTCTCTGGACTGTCTCCAATTTCTCCATCTTCCTTGAAATGTGGTGCCCAGAACTGGACACAATACTCCAATTGTGGCCTAATCAGTGCAGAGTAGAGCAGAAAAATGACTTCTTGTGTCTTGTCTACAATATAGACGAGCCCTAAGAAACTTCAGTGAATTTTCAAATGCTTGTGTGAGTATTAGCCATACATATACTGTGAGGCTGTTACAGTATTTAAGAAATGTATGGCTGTGATTTAAGAATTTAAGATAACATACCTGTGTGTAACACATTCCCTCAATAGCCATCCCTGATGCAATATCCACCTGAAGGAAAGAAGCAATCTCTGAAGTGCACATTATTCAAACTGCAATGCACTTTACCATTTAATCATCTAGCATTACTGTTACAATATTTATAACTAATGTGGAGTCACTCTTGCTCTGCCAAACTTTTGTTCAAGACTCCAGAGCCAATCTTACAAGGACGATCCCTTACTGAAAACAGGGATTAGGATCTCATTTACAGGACTGCCTCCATGACTGTTCTAAACATTTTTACTGCAGTTTTATGAGTGTCTCTTAAATGTTTTGTTTTACTGAACATTTCATAAACATTTTCTTGGAAAAAAAATTACCTCTATCCCTCTGTTTATTGCCAGTTTACTCATTTTCACAGCAATGGGAGCCTTTAAAAAAAAAAAAGATAACTGAAGTCACTTCTGTGTACAATAAAGTGCTGTAGCTCATAACTTCTAACAGCTGAAGGGTCCATTGTGATCTAGTCCGACTTCCTGTATAACATCCCTAAAATTATTCTTTCTTCCAAATAGAGCAGGGCAAAATATTTTCTGCGCTGTTTCCAGCAAAAGCAGTGTAGATTTGGCAACAAGAAGACTTCTTAGAATTCACATTTGTCTTTTTTCAACAAAAATTGCTCTTTCCTCCACAAAAATTAAAAAATAAGTTTTCATTTTAATTATTTCAAAACTGTTTCGATCTCTACCTTTAAGCCATTTTAAATTATGAAGTGTAGTTTTGATAATGTGTTTGGAAATTCTGAAAAGTAATTTTCAGTTTAACGCAAAGCAATTTCTGGGAGTTGGTTGTTTTGTTTTTGGAATTGTCAGCAAACTGAAAAATCAGTTATCGATTCAGATGTTTCCAAAGATAGTCTCTTGTCTTCAGTAATTTCCAGGAAAGCTAATACTGTCTACAGTTCCTAATACAATGTACTTTTATGTATTCGAGCCACAATTTTCAGACTTGGGTCTCTAAATACGCATTATTTTCTAACTACTTGGCCTGATTTCCAGAGGTGCTGAGCACTTACATTGTGCACTGAAACTACAGTGCTAAGTGCCACTGCAAAAGTAAAACAAACAACTAATTTTTAACACTTTTAAAGCTGGATGTGTACAGTGCCACCACTTTAGGGAGAGCAGTCCAACTGTAGTGTTATTCCTAACAGTGAATGATGGTCATGCTTATATGATGGACAGAAGAACACTGTTGTGTCCTAATGCCAGCGGGCCGGGCCAGCTCTGGGGGCCAGGGTTGGGATACACTGTTCCCGCTGTGGCTGTTGGGAGAGGTGTGTCCTGCACTGACTCTCAGCCAACCAGCGCTGGGCAGGGGCGGGGTTTCTTCCCAAACACAGAAGAGCACTTTGCTGTGCAGTGGGAGGACCGCATGGAGCTCAGCACAGCAGTCTTAAAGCAGCAGCAACCCAGGCAGCGGTGTTCAGCTGGTGGGCAGAATAGGGCTAGGTGACGGTGGTGGGGCTAGTGCCTGAGGGACTGTGGGGCTCTTAAGAGGTTGGAAGCTGACACTGAGGCATCCAGGATGGGGAGCTGGCATTGGGAGGCTCTGGGAGTGGGGCTAGTAGTGGGAGGTTATGGGGTAGGGGCTGGCTTTCGGGGTGCTCTAGGGATAGGGCTAATATTGGGCATTGGGACTGGGAAGGGTTCTGGAAACAGGAGCCTGGCACTGGGGGAATCTGGTGCTGGGGACTGGCACTGAGGCATTTGGGATGGGGGGCTGGGTACAGAGAATTTGGGTCAGTGGCTGGCGCTGGGGGTAGTAGAGGAGTGGAGGGGCTCTAGGGGTTAGGACTGGCTTTGGGGGCTGGAGCTTTTGGTGGACTGGTAACAATTTGCATATTCATTATTTGCATAATGAATATGAAAATAAAATGTTACCGATCCACCAAAAGTTTGTCAATGGGTTTGCCGATCCTCAGCATAAAAAAGTTGGAAACCACTGCCAATGTTATGGCATGGGAGAAGATGAAGATGTTTTGGTGGAGTTATTCAGATCCCATTCATGAATAGAAAACAAAAATGATTTTCACACTGAATTTCAAAGGTCTAATTTTTCAAAGCTTGCCTCCTTTTTGCTGGTGTAAGTGAAACATCTAGAGGTCTAATTGTGCCCACAAGCCAACCAGTTAGCTATCCACATAGCAGATTCAATTTGCTGCAAATGATGCAGACAGAGATTGGGTTGAATGTGCTTTAAGAAAAATAAATCTCAAGATTGTAATATTTCATGAAGAAAAGTAAGAAGCTAGCCAAAATGCCTCCTATACATGAAATGCATAAGCCAAATAAACAATACTGACCCGAGGAAGAATTTCTTTAGCTAAGATTAATGCTTTCTGGTAAGCTGCATCTCCTCCATCGTTCTGTAGCACTGTGTGGTTTACTAATCCTATTGAGAGTGCTTCTTGTCCATCAATCTGTCTGCCAGTGAAAATGAGTTCCTTAGCAAGACCTATTCCAATACAGCGGGGCAGGCGTTGGGTTCCACCTTAAGACAATATACCACATTATGGTTATCTGAGAAACATATCTAAAGCACTCAAATGTATATTTACCTGTTTAAAATTGTGGAAAACACAAAGGTATTCTGGAAATTGCAGGACCAGGCACTATAGCCCCTGTCATCTGAGGAGCTCAACATTTTTCACTTTAAGCCACAGCACCTTCGTTGAGTGAACAAGTATTCACACATGGTATAAATGAGAAAATGAAAGGTTGAAATAATCTGCATAAGATCACAGGAAGTCAGTAGAGCTCAGACTAAAACTGGAATTCTGACTCCCAGCTCCTTGCTCTTAATTACTAGATGATGAACATCCTTTTATATAAAAAGGAAGCATTAAGTGCCCTATAGTAAAAGTCACGTGTTGCTGTTAAAATATTAGAAGATTTAACTAAGCTTATATTACCTGCACCAGGAAGAAGTCCTCTGGTGGTCTCAATCAGGCCCATTACAGCTGATGAAGCTATTTTAAAGAAATGTTTTAAAAGTTACTTTCTCACACAAGAAGGAAGCTATTAACATTACGCTAAGACCTTTATATAAAAATTAACACCTGAGCACCTACTGGAAAGTTATCTCTGTGTAAAGTGGATCTCTAGCTTTCATTCATTCTGGGCATCCTGCAGTTAGACTCTCCATTCTCAATTGAAGATAATCCTTACATGCTAGTTTTTACTGAATTTATAAAGACATCAGTTGTTTAAGATGAACATTTGGGTGTCTGTTGTACAATCAGAAAATGTATCTTTGGAAGCAGCATTAAGTTACCAAACTACCATCTTGCTTGATTTCAGGAATCGGATGGGCCAGGTTACTACATTAACTTCAGGTAGCCAGAAAAGATGGGTACTGTAGTCAGCTAACCCCAGCTACAAGTTAGGTGGAGATGAGCCTGGATTGAAATGTCCTGTGTAACTGACTCCTTCCAGGAAATGTGGCTCTTTTTTTCCAGGAAAAAGGGAATTAAGGGTGTGATAGGAAGACTCAGAAAGGAGGTAGAAATTGAAGGATTTTGCTAACTTTTTAAAAACTTCACACTAGGGATGTTAAATGTAATCAACTAATTGATGGAATTTCCATTGATTAGTTATGCTGGGGAGCTGTAGCAGGGTTATCACCCTCTTCCGGGAGCTAACCCTACTGTGGCTCTGCCTTTTAAACATAATAAGAGCTGACAGGAAATGTTCCTTACTCCTCGTAGAATGAGGTTTACAGGGATGTCGGAATAGCAAGCCTGAAATAACGGGCTTGCTGTGAAGACGCAGGAGTTATTTTGGGATACTCCGGTATCCCAAAATAGTGTTGCAGTAAAGACATAGCCCAAAAGTTCTGGGAGGGAGAGAGAGGAGCAGGTAAGTGTGTGGTTCCAGTGCATAAGAGGTGGGAACAGACAAGGGATGCGCGGGCTGCAGATTGACTCAGTGGTTCTCATGACCAGTGTTAGGCAAAGGATGGATATTCACTCAGCCCACTCACTAGTTTTGGTTGCCGATTGCTGTTATAAAGGGTGTACTCTCTCCCATCAACATACAGGGACCTCACTGCCAACCCAGGTTTGATCAGTCACTCAAGCCTGCTATTAGTGGAGATTAACCATATACCCTTACCTCTAACAGGAAATTAAATCCTTCAAAAAGAATGTTAGTGTAGCTCATATTGATACCTCATCTAATGTTTTCCCTTTTACTATAAAAGACATGCAGCTTTCTCAAATGCCTAAAATGTTGGTGACATTTAATTGTCTATTCATTTCCTACATTACACAAGTTCCTGTCTTAGCTATTCAGTAAGGGTATGTCTACACTACAGTGTTATTTTGAAATAACTTATTTTGAAATAATGCATCTAGACACAAAATGCATTTTGAAATAGCATTTTGCTATTTCAAAATAGTACATCCACACTGAGTGGACTCTGAATTGCATTTAAGGCTGGCCGGAACCAGTTCCGGCAAGGCACCAGGTCAGGACTTACTGTGTGGGGCTGCTGCCTGAGGCTAACTGAGGTCTGTGCTTAAAGGCCCCCTCCTTCCTCCCTGGACAGCCAGTTCTCAGGTTTCCCTGCTTGCTTGTCTACCTCAATGAGGGACAGCAAAGCATTTTTGTCTTGGCGTGCTCTGATTGCCCTCACTCGGGACATCACAGCACTCTGCAACATGGAGTCAGAGCTGCCCCTGGGCACTCTGGTGCTTCTCGTGGACGCATTGCTGTGAGCCTGGCTGCACTTGTTGAAGGTTGCAATCCGGGAGGTCCATCGGGGGGCTGTCAGTACCCAGGAGGCCCTGAGGGAGAGCTTCCACCCTGAGGAGCACTAAGAGCCTCCCTGCTGTGCCCCATTGGTGGCTTGTGCCTCATTCCTCCCTCACGTCCTTCCATTTACCCCTCCCTACCCCCCCCCCCCCCCCGCTGCTCACCCCCCCCCCCCTCCTGATGTAAAATAAAATACACGTATTCTCATGAACCCAAACTCTATTTAACAAAGCTGGGGGGGTGGTAATGAAACTCTGGTGAGACTGGGGAAAGGAGGTGGGAGAGGGGAGGGAGAAACCTGGGAGGAGGGAGCTGGAAGAGGGAAGCAAGGGGAAGTAGGGGGAGGAGAAGCTCAGGGTTGCGGGTCTCGCTGGACCAACTTGAGTTTCATGTGAACCTGCTCTTGGGTTCGCATGTGGCCTTTGGTAGCCAGGCTGGCAGCTATCCTGCCATAGACGGTCATGTTCCTTCATCTAGTGTGGAGATCATGGACGTTGGGGGCATTCCCCCCCAAACCTGAATAAGGTCCGTGATCTCTGCCCTGGACCAGGAAGGTGCCCGCCTTCTCCAGGCCCTGGCAGGCTCCTGGGAGCTGGCAGACTGGTTCTGGGGAGTGGTGGAAGGCTGGCTGCCAGTAGCTTGCTGGCTCATGTTTTGGGGCCATTGGATATGGGGCAATGACTGCTGGCTCTGGGCTGCCAGGCCTGGATCTGGCACAGGCACTGTGGCCAGAGTCTACCCCTTTAAAGGCTCCGGGGAGGGAGGGAGAGGAGTGTTCTTGGTTGAGGCTGGAATGGCCACCAGGGCATCCTGGGAAGGCTGGAGGCCCCCTATTTTGATGTGTGTCTACACAGCACTTATTTCAAAATAGCTATCTCGAATTTGGCATAATTCCTCGTAGAATGAGGTTTACCAAATTCTAAATAAGTGCCCTGCTATTTTGAATTAATTTCGAAATAGCGGTTTGGCTATGTAGATGCTAGTAAAGTTATTTAGAAATAACAGCTTATTTCGAAATAACTTTGCTGTGTAGACATACCCTAAGGGAATTAAACAGCCTTTCACTTATTTTCAAATATTATTTAACTAAAACCAATAATTACATTAAATATCACATATTTGGCAGTCCACCTACCTGCTATTCGAAGATCGCATGCTAAAGCCAACTCCAATCCCCCACCCAATGCATAGCCTTCTATTGCAGCTATTGTGGGCATAGGCAGTGCAGCTATTAAAGAAAAAACAGAATTGAAAGTATAATCGCAGATGTGGTTTTTCAGTGAATGTTTCATGTAACTAAATTACAAATATTTAAAGTTTGGTATGATGCTACAATGATTTCAGTAAGTTAAAAGGTACAGTAAAAATCCAATAGTCCGGCACTCCTAATAGTCCGGCATCAAAATGGCAAGAGCCTAGTGAGTGAGCTTCGGCAAAAAATGAGTCACGAGGTAACAGCGGCAGCAGCTGAACTGAGCAAAAAGGCTAAAAAAGGCTTAAAAACACTAAAACATTACAGTATACTGTATACAGTATGTACAATAAAAAGGGTTAAGAACACTTTATATACAGTATATAATGTATACAGTATATAGATAACCATCTTATAGTACCTCCTGATAGTCCGGCATATCTGATAATCCGGCACCACCTAGGTCCCATAGGTTCCGGATTATCGGAAGTCTACTGTACAAGGAAACGGTCTTCAAATGGTAAAAAACTGCTCTTCCTTCCTTCCTTCCTTCCTTCCTTCCTTCTCTTTAAAAATAATTCCATGTTATAAAGCAATTAAATATAAAACAAAGTTTATTTTTTCAAACTAAAACTCTGCCTCCTTGAAATGGAGATACATTAAATGTGAACATCCAATTGTTACAGTTAACAGATTCTACTTACTGAAGCACTCTCCACATTCAAGGTTCTATGGCTACAAATGATCAGTTCCCACTCCTGTCAAGTTCAACTGAATATTATATACTACATTTAATATATTTCTGCACATTAGTTAAGCCTCCCAGCACATATGTGAACTAGGTAAGTCTCTCCCATGTTAAAATTGGGGAAATTCAAAGCAACTAGTGATTAAGTATCTCCTGCACAGAAAAACAAACAAACAAACAAACAAAAAAATCACACAGGGTGTAGCTACACAGCAGGGCTTAACTCGAAATAAGCTATGCAAATTGAGCTATGGCAATTGCGCAGCTTATTTCAAAATTGGAAGCATCTACACAGTGCTTATTTCGAAATAGACCATTCTTCCTCCAACTTCCCTTACTTCTCGTACAATGAGGGTTACAGGAGTCAGAGTAAGAAGTCCTCCAGCTTGACAGTATTTCAACATTATTTCAAAACAACTGCCTGCTGTGTAGACACTGACTAAGTTATTTTGAAATAATGCTAGTTACTTTGAAATAATGTTGCTCTGTAGACACACCCTGAGTGAACAACAAAGTTGGGAACAGAATCCAGGAGTATTCTCTTGAGGTTCCTTGCTCTAAATGCTAACCGACACTGCATCAAACATCATTTGGTGCTTTGTAACACTAAAGTCTCATTTGGGTGCACATTCTTTGTTTAATATTAATCTTCTTATTAGAGTTACTTTGATAGTCTAGTCAGATTCATTTGTGTATTAAATATCTAGCTAAAATATCTCCCTCCAGGGACAACAGGACAATTAACAAATACAAAAAGGTAATTGATTATACAAATCCACAGTTCTTGCCTAAAAAGAGGAAAAATCTTGAGAGACTAGTCCTACTAAGAAATTGACTCAATTATCTGAGATCCTTTACTATATAGGCTCTTATATCACACCCAACTCTGTAGTATCTGACCACCTGTCAGTATGACACATTAAGTGACAGGAGTAACACGTGTCATGTACCATTCATTCTTCTCCTATGGCAGTGGAGAATTGTGGATGCAGTGAAGTAGAGATTTTTTAAGAGTGTTATTTGTTGCTCTCATTTCTTAAAGAGCAACTTAGAGAAGTTAGGTCCAAAAACGCACCTCGCACTTGAAGCAGAAGGTGGTCCTTAGAAGATTTGTGATGGTCCTTAGTTCCCTTGATGGAACATTTTGCAGTCTCAGATTATTCCTGAAGAACCATCTCTTGCATTGTCAAGTTTTACCCTTTTAAGGTAAGGGTCCTGAAAAAATGTCCCTAAGCACTACAGACTTGACCCCCATATGTATAGAGAAATGGTTTATAATTGATCATTTACCAATTTCATCCGTTAAACTTCTCAGCCTGTGAACAAAGTGTCCAACTTCCACATCATTCATTTGTGCACGCTCCTTTAAGTCAGCACCTAAAATTGAGAGGAAAACAAAGAATTCAGTGATTAAGAAGAAAGGTAACATAAGCAGTTGAGCAGCAGTGTTTGACCTGGCTATACAGGAGAGTCAAATTTAAAAGCAAACTTGGTATGCCAACTCTCTGCACTTCTAGAGCTTAGGTGCATCCCTAGAATTCAGTATGCAGGATTTAAGAATGGTTGTGGAGTGCTCTGCTCAGTTGCTATCTGTTAAACAATTCATAGAGCAGCATCAATTCCTATCAATGAGGTTGTATCTCAAAATTACAGGGTAGGGGCCCTACTGCAAGCAGAATATGGGTCTAACTCAGAGGTGGGCAAAAACACAGCAGCGGTTCACCAGGGTTAGCCCCTGGCAAGCCATCGCTATATTTACTTGAACGGCCACAGGTACTGGCCATCACAGCTCCCATTGGCCACTGATCACTGTTCCTGGCCAATGGGACTGGTGGGAAGCAGCACAGACTGACTCTGTTTCCTGCAGCTCCCATTGTCCAGGAATAGTTTGTTCCTTGTTATCTCACAAAATTAAATTGGTTTTCTTAAGTTTGTCTTTACAGATATCACTCAGTATAGTCTAATCAGTACAACATAATTTGAAGGTATCTATTTTTAATACCAAGTCCCCGAACATTTGTTACATACCTGCACAAAACACGCCTTTTACTTCACTTTTCAACACTACCACACGGATCCTTTCATCACAACGGACACTTTCTAGAGCTCTGAATAGCTAATAGTTTAACCAAGAGGAGAAGAGAGGAAAAACAGAATGTGTCAAGCATATATAGTGGTATGCATGTTTAAATGTCTGAAGACTCCTATATTTTGATGTTTCATTTCCTTTATCTCTGTGGGCATACAGATCTCTTAGAAAGCTAGCCTCAAGATGGTTTTGCTCCTCAGATGGTTTCTACAAGCCTCTCCTGAAATTCAGGATTCCCCTCTTCTTAGTCCCATCCACACAGGTTTTTCTGCATTGCTGACTGTCCTTTCTCTGCAAAGTTGTCAAACTCTGCAAATTCGCTTTATGTCCACAGGTATCCACATCTGTAGACGTGGATATCCGCAGCTCATTTTTATGATTATGGATATGGATAACAAATTTTGTATATAGAACCCTGAAAATTTGCGGCTATCTACTTTGTATCCATATCCATTGTTCATTTTTGTAGATACAGAAGTGGATACCTCTACAGAGTTAAGCAAGGCTTCCTCTGAAACAAGTCAGTCTCCTATTCAACCAGAGAGGTTGCTTATGACCAAAGGCTCCTTTCCCCAGGGGCTAAGCTGCCTTCTGCCTATTCTCAGCCCCTACTGGCAGCAAAGGACATAGCTCTAATCTCAGACTTAGATCTCGAACTGGGGATGTTAGATAGCATGTAATTGAATAGTCATGTAATCGCACAAAATACTATTGGTTACATAACTATTTGATAGTCCCCAGGGGCGGGGCCTCCAACAGTGCACTCTGGCCCCACTCCTGGGGAGTCCCCTGCCACCCTGTGCTGCTGCCTCTCTATCAGAGGCAGCAGTACGGAGTCGCAGGCGGAAGCTGGCAGATTGATCCCCATGCAGATTGACTCCAGCTTGCCGCCCCATGCTGTTGCCACCTCTGATGAAGAGATAGCAGCAGTCCCTGGCTGCAGGGGGGTCCATGCTCTCTGTGGACATAGGCTGCTCTGTGGCAACAGCCTCTGTCTGCGAGGAGCTTGAAACACGGCCCCCCCACGGACAGGGGCTGCTGCTGTGGATCCACAGACGGAAGTTGCTCCTCTGCAGCCTTCCCTGCCCCTCCCTCTGCACTGCTGCATCTGATAGATGCAGCAGTGTGGGGGGACGGCACCAACTCCTGCCTCCCTCCGCTCTTGCTGCCTCTGATACAGAGGCAGCTGATACAGAGGCAGCAAGAGGAGAAATGCATGTAGTTAATAGTATTAACCAATAAGCCCAATTTTATTGGTTAATCATGTAGTCGACTACACATTGATATCCCTATCTCACGTGATACCTCACAGCAATAGTCTTAGACCATCATGTTGTTAGGCCACAAACAGTGGACTCTCATGAAGAGTTGCTTTGGGGTGAGTTAATTTTCCCTAGTTGGTATCACAACATGCTCTAAGTTTTTCCTCTGATAAATGGGAATGAAGGCTGGAAACGAGACGACTAGTGCCCCAAGAGAAGGGGAAAAGCAGACATTACAGCTCTGGAAGGCACTTCCAACAAAAATGTAACCGTGTCCCCATCTGTAAACTAAAATCTATTTTCCAGCTTCTTTAGAGTAGTGAGAATTAGTAAGTGTAAAGTCTTATCTATTAAAAACATAAAGGCCAAAACGCAAAGAAAATGGGTGCTTGTTTTCTTTTGTGCAATTAATATGGCCATTTTACTTCTACGGGATACATTTAGATACTGATCACAATTCTAAATAATGTTTACAGTCTAAAGGTAGAGAAACAGCTATACTTACTTCATTAACAAGTATTTTTCCCAGTGAATTTCTAGCATGGGCTCTGTTCATCAGGATTTCAGCAATTCCTTTAGTAAAAAGAGACAAGTTGTTTAAAGATACAATTTACATTTGCAAAGACCAGTCTTCCGGGAACAACAGCTTTTCTCTCAAGACTTTATTTAAAGATTGTTTAAAATAAAGTAGGCTGCTTAAATGAGTGAGTTTTAAATGGAACAATACCACACCACAATTGTGAAATTCAGCACTACAGAATCATTGTGAAGTTTTATTATACTGCACTGTTACATTATGTAAATAAATAATCCTTTAACTTAAAAGTGGACCTCTGATTCAACGTGGCAGTTACAGATGTTCCTTACATTTTTTATCCTAAGAACAGAATGGATCTATATAACAGTTCCATTTTACATGTGTTCTGCTTTCCCTATATTGTCTTCCTGCTTGAATTTGCTTTTCAGGTATTTTCCTTAATGAAAAAAATAGTCTTCCCATACCTACTGCTTACAGGAGAAGAACAGCACAAACTGGACAATATCACCTTAGAGACTAACCAAAAAATATATAGACAGTATCATGAGCTTTCGTGGGCACAACCCACTTCTTCAGATGACAAATATCAGGGATTATTTGTCATCTGAAGAAGTGGATTGTGCCCACGAAAGCTCATGATACTGTCTGTCTATATTTTTGGTTAGTCTCTAAGCCCTGGTCTACACAAAGGAGTTATTTCAAAATAACTCTCCTTATTTTAAAATAACAAGTGGAGCATCCACACTACCAAGCCCATTATTTTGAAATAAGGACATTATCAGTTACAGTTTACTGTCCAGAGCTATCTGGAAAATGCATACCTATTCACAACTAAACCTTTTGTGTAATCACTATTTTAAGAATCAGGAGCTTTGCATTGCTCAAGATTCTCAAAATACAGGGGGAAAAGAACAATAACACTTTGTAGAATATTAACGTAATTTCTCCCTGTATCATGCAGTTCTTGAAAGAAAACAAGCCTCAAAAGTGATGTGCTGTAGAAAAGCCATTTCCAAAGTTCTCACTGGTGCAAAGCAGAGACAAGACTTTCATTTCCAATACCCCACTCATTCTGTGAGTTAGGAAATTATTTCCTCTCATCATGTCAGGCAAGGACTAGGTCTCCTATTATCATAGGATATTGTGAAGTATAATTATTCCTATTTTACACTAGAAAAAAAGCAAGGCAGAGAAGTGAAGTGACTTGCCCAAGGTTACACAGGAAACTTTTAGCAGTGCAAGAAATGAAACCCGTATCTCCTGTCTCTCAGCAACTGACAGCAGTGAATGTGTACAATTCTCCTTTTCCTGATTAGACTCTTACTCCCAATTTTTCGAGTTCTGTCCACTTCCACGATCCTGTTGTTTCTGTACATGAAAATGCACAACAAAATCTACATGGTTAGTATTTTCTACCTTGCTAAAAGATTTTTACATTCAGCTTTATGACTGTCTGGCTGTTGTGATATCATCATGGGCCAGAAGTCAACTAGTAACAACAAAGACATGTGCAACAGCTGGCATAAGCTAGCACTATTGACAACTATACAAAAACAAAAAATTGCAGAAGCAGCTAGAGAACCTGTTGTGCAAATTCCAGAACAAATTAACTTCTTTGAAAGCTGGTTCTGTGGAAATCTTCCATGTTCCTTACATTGATCTGCCACCCTTCTCCAACCCTATGGTCCTGACCTTTATTATAATACATTACTGACATCAGAAAAAAAAAACCTGTGAATTTAGAGAACAGATGATTTATATTCAAGTTTATTTCATGCTTCCTCCACAGATTTGTTCCTAATGCACATTTGTATTTGGTTTTTGTAGTTGTACCTGTCAGCCACCTGTGGACCAAGTGTAAAACACCACATAGGACAAAAAGATTATAGAGAACTTTATGAAATTTGCAATCACCTAGGAAGGTGTTTCAGCCCAAGCACAAATCAGTACATTTCCATCTGCACTGTGGAAAAAATAACCTATCATGGGAGCCTATTAAAAGACATTAGTACAACACATGTGTAGAACATAAATCATTCCAGTAGAGTAGCTGTATCTGAACAGTGTTTTAGCCAACTTCCTGAATTATACTAAAGTCTTGCAAAATCCATCATTTAAGCACTGTTCAAGATGACAATTGATATACAATGTCCTTTCAACACACAGGGTCAGCAGTTGCCCAGTTGTCAGCAGATCCTCCTACATGGTTGCTTTTCAAGGAGTAGCAGGAAGTTGTCTTTTGCTCAATCTGTTATTTATCTATCTATAAAAAATACATCCGTAGTTTCACAGTAGTTCTGGTACCATATTCTGATTCTGCTTTGTTACAGAACAAGCTGCCCATTTGGCCCATACATACTGTGTGGATAGGCCCAAAGTGCATTAGGGCCCAAGTCACCAGCTGGCCTGATTGTTGTTATAATCTGCCTATTGTACTGTTTACTCCTGCCTAAACAGACCCGGCAGGGTCGGATCATAATTGGGCACATGATTATTAGCCCGTTAAACTGGACCGTGTGGTTTGCATTGTGGGCAGGGATTTTATCTGTTTCTGGATTGCTGCAACTTCCCTCCAGGATAAGCGCTAGTTTCACAGTCCGCACATTTGCCACCTGCGATTTCGGGGTGGGGGAACTGTACAGAGTTACTGTGTGTGGCTCGGAAAATGGGAATCATTTTATGGGTCAAGACTTGAGTAGTGTAGAGAGAAAGGAAGAAGCTGAGCTTCGTCTCCAGGGGAAGAAGTTACCCTTCCAAGATTTTACTCTCAAACCTCCCAGGGATCTGGAGGGGCGGGTCTGGACTCACCGCTGCTTTCTCCTCCGTGAACATTGACCAGGACCTCCTTCTCCCCGCCCGAGGATCTCTTGCTGTGACCGCTGACCCATCGGGGGTGCGGCGCGGCGAGCGCCCTGCACCCAGCTGCGGCTCTCCCCAGCCGAAGCATTGTGCTGTTTGTTTCAAGGCGACAACGGCGGCTGCTTCCTCCTGCGCTTCCTGATGTCCAAGTTTAGGGAGAAGCTCAGTTGCGCCACCCATTGGCATAAAGGGAAGAGGAGAAGAGGACCCGCGACACTCCTGCAAGAACGCCACTGGGAGGGGGCAAGACCCCACTGTTCTATTGAGAGAAAAGGGACTCGGAAAAAGTTGCTGATTAAGTTAAATGACGGTGGGAAGCTACCATCAGAAATGGCAGAAAATACTGACGGACTGCGAGTAGAGTTGACAGGTTTTTTACGCACACAGGAACACGCACCGCCCCCCGACCCCCCTCCCACACACTCCTACTCACTCTATATAGCTCAAAAGCTTTTCTTTCACCAACAAAGACTGATACAGCTCACCCACCTCGGCTACGTCTAGACTGGCATGATTTTACGCAAATGCTTTTAACGGAAAAGTTTTCCGTTAAAAGCATTTGCGGAAAAGAGCGTCTAGATTGGCACGGACGCTTTCCCACAAAAGCACTTTTTGTGGAAAAGCGTCCGTGCCAATCTAGACACGCTTTTCCGCAAAAAAGCCCCGATCGACATTTTCGCTATTGGGGCTTTTTCGCGCAAAACAAATCTGAGCTGTCTACACTGGCCCTTTTGCGCAAAAGCTTTATGCAAAAGGATTTTTGCCCGAACGGGAGCAGCATAGTATTTCCGCAAGAAGCACTGATTTCAGACAGTAGGAAGTCAGTGTTCTTGTGGAAATTCAAGCAGCCAGTGTAGACAGCTGGCAAGTTTTTCCGCAAAAGCAGCTGCTTTTGTGGAAAAACTTGCCAGTCCAGACACAGCCCTTGTGTCTCAGGTTATATGAAAGTCAGTTGCCATAACTATGGCTTTGATTTTGCCAAGCTTTTAATTTTAAGCATTTGTAGAGTTAAAAAAGGACTAATTAACTAATGTCATTAAGGAACAAATAGCTGATTTGGGATCAGAATCAATTAATTTTTTAAGAAAGGATATGGAAATGAATCCAGAAGGAAAACCCTCACTGTATCTATACATTTTCATAAAAACATTTTAGTCTATTATTTTTGGTGGAAGGAGCAATTAGCTGACATGAGAAACAAAAACCTGTATGATTTATCTGAAAAAGAGCTATATATAAAGTAATAATTTGTTACAATAATGTGATCCCAAAATATTGTATTTACTGTGACAGAAAATAGACACGGTATAGCTAGTATCAAATCAATAGGGGGGAAATGTTATATTCATGGGAGAATGGGGCCTGTTCTCTAGCCATGGGATACAAATAAATTCTAATTTTAAAAAATGTAGTTTCTGAAATGGAAAAATGAGGCGGACAAGAGAGAAACACTTAACTATATTCTAGTTCAGGGGGACAGAGATATCTGAGCAGAAAAAAATGGTTTTGAAGACTGTAGCACAAGAATTGTGACTTTGTTTCTTCGTTCTACCACACTTTCCAAAATACCTTTGGCAAGTCACTTAGGTCCAGATCCTTAACAGTATTTAGGAAGCTAACTCCCAAGTGACCTCAGCCTTAATCTTTTTGTGCTAGTTACCTGTCTGCAACATGGGAACAAAACTTTCCTATTTCACCGAGGTCTTGTACAGATTGATTAGTGTTTATGAGGTGCTCAGAAACTATATTGATAGCAACTACTTAAGTCCATAGAGGTGCATCTACACTGCACCCTTAGCTTGAAATAGCTCAAATTGCATACCTATGTAAATTGTGTACCTTATTTCTAAATAATTTAAAAATAGCTTATTTGGCTACACAGCGCCAAATTTAGAAATAAACCGCTGTTCCAAAACATCCCTGAATTCTCATGGAACGAGGCTTACAGGAACGTCAGAATAGTGAGCCCGTTATTTCGAAAGATGCTGAGCATCTCTGTAGCACTCTTAAGCGCACCTCCTTTCTGTTTCCTGGGTGGCTAACTATCACAATATTCCCATTTTGATTACTCTATGCCTCCCCTTGACCGATGTTCCCTCTAATTTTTTCCGTCCATGCACGGAATGTATTTTATAATGTGCACTACTAACAGAAACACATGCTGGTGGCTAGGAATTTAAAGTCCTGTTTAATTGGTTAACTGATTAAAAATTATGTTTAAATAGTTAACCAATTAAGGGGGCATGTGTGGGAGACCTCTCCAGCTCCACTGGGCTGGAGAAGCCCCCCCACCTTGTCAAGGTTGGCTGGAGCAGCCAGCCCACCCCACTGAAGCTGGAGTGCGCACTCCCTGCTCCGCTCATGACACACTAGGGTTCACCACGGACAAAGGCCCCTGTCTGAGAGGCACCAGGGCTTGCTGCGGATAGAGGCTACTCTGGATCACCAGAGCAACCACTGTCTATGGTGTCCTCCCGCAGGGCTAGAGCAGTCTCCTGCCATAGCTGGTGGGGAGCTGTTCCAGCTCCCACGGGTTAAGCGGAAAGCATAAGGGTGATGTTTATTGGTTAACCCATTAACCTTTCACATACCTACTGGCAGCTGTGGATGCTGTTAATCAGCTGGATGGCATTTGAATCACTCTGGGTAAATGTCCAAGTACTCAGCTTACAGCAGTGGTCACCAACCAGTAGATCCTGAAGCCTCTGACCGGTGATCCTTACTGGTTTGGCCAAGAGGCTATCAAGCACAGCACTTCAATTGCCCCTTTTCTCACTGGTGCACGTCCCCTGCCCTTTGCCTTGGAGCTGCCTTCCCCCCAGGAACCTCCTGCTTGCTGTGCAGAGCAGGAAAATGAGAGGAGAAGTCACTGATGTCAGGGTGCCCCTCCTACCTTGTATTCTATCTCCACAGAATGGAGGGGGGCACAGGGCTTGGGATAGAGGGAGTTTGCTGGCTGCTTTTGAGAGCGGTGCAGGGCCAGGGCAGCTGTGAGCCTGCCTTAGCCCCACTGCACCACCACCCAGGAGCCACCTGAGATAAGCAGTGTCTAGCTGGAGCCAGCTCCAAACCTCTGCCCCATTCATGAACCCCTCCCCCCCCCATCTACACCATCATGCTCCTGCCCTACCTTGAGCCACCTGGACTCAAACTTCATTACAGAGCCTGAACCCCCTCTTACACCCCAACTTCCTGCCCCAGATTCAGCTCAGGGCAAGCTTCACACTCCAAATCCCTTAGGCCAAGACCAGAGCCTGTGTTCCAACCCTCTGCTCCTGCCTGGTGAAAGGGAGGGAGGATGGGGGAAAGAGGGAGGATGGAGTGAGATGGGGCAGGGCCTCAGAGAAAGGACACAAAGGAGGCGGGCCAGGGTATTCGGGTTTGAGGTAGATCCTAGATTGCTCTTAAATTCAAAAAGTGATCTTGTGACTAAAAAGGTTGGAGACCCCTGGCTTACAGAGAACCTCAGCTGCCAAATACTCTAATTCCACCACCTCCCCATAACTTTCATCACACTCATGGACTCCCAACTTAAATGGCTGCTACCATCATCCCTTTCCAGTCCAGATCCCACATCTAGGGCCGACCTGAGCCATTTTGGCGCCCTGGGCCCAGAGTGTTGCTTCCAGGGTGCACTGCACATGTGCGGCCTGGCCACAGCCGCTGGCGCACAGCCCGGGGCCCACCTCGGGTCGCATGGTGCACGCCCTGCCTAGCCCGGCCCCTGCTGTTGGCACGTGTGCTGGGCTGACCAGGGCCCCGTGGCTTTAGGAGGAAGGGCACTGCTGGCCGGCGCCACGGGGCTTGCGCTGCGGGAGCCAGGCGTGCGGCACCTGATGGCAGCTATAAGGGACGCCGCACACCCCTTACCGTTGCCATCAGGCATCCCCCATCGGTTGGCGCCCTGGGCAGCTGCCCAGTTTGTCCACCCCTGTCTGGCCCTGCCCACATCTGATTCTGGAGGGGCCACCCCCGAGGGATGCCAGCAAACCCAGGAAAGGCTCGCTGCAAAGGTCACGCAGAAATTAACACCCCATCATCTGGCGCAGATGTCGCAGGCCCGTTATTTAGGAGCATGGGGCATTAAGGAAGGAAAAGACCAAAGTTGACTCAAGTCCCACGACTTGAACTCAAGTCTGACTTAAGTTGCCTAGATGACTTGACTTGAGATTCGACTTGGGTTCATTGTTTGTGACTTGAGACTTGACTTGAGACTTGCTAATTATGTTATATCAACTTGGTAAAAAAATCATCTGAAAATGCAGATATTGGTGGCCTGTACAAAAGTGACTTGAAATTTTTTAAATTAAGACTTGAGACTCGATTTGGGACTTGACTCGAAAGTGACTTTAGGGACTCGAAACTTGACTTGAGACTTGAACTGTAGTGACTTGAGACTTGACTTGGACTTGTTCAACATAGAAGTTGGTCGGTTTAAGAATGTTGCAGGTCTCAGGGAGGTGAAGAAACAGACAAGCTTTAACTGGATATCGTTTTAAACCTTTATTGAAGTGCTTCCAGTTATAACTTATTATTTTATCAATTTCTTACATACGTGGGCTCCAAATAACTATTAGCATGAACAATAGGCAAAATGCAACACAGTAAAAAAGGATTCCCTGGCTCTTTCTAAATCCTAATAGTTGTTAACAAAGGTCCAGGGATTATCAATTGTCATATTTATGTTAGTGCTACTCACGAGGCTAATAATTTATCTAAGACTATTTAACACTACTACTTAACAATACCTCTAAATAAATTTAGATAACAATATTTACATTTAACAAACACACAAAGCACAACAGCAATAACATGTTCGGTATACGTTGTGCTCTACGGGAAATTTGTTTGGTTCGGTGAGCGGGCGGGGGGCTTTGGGTGATCAGTCCTTGGCTCATATTCTGCTTTCCAGTCCTTGTTCGGGAGCCCTCAATTTGGTAAGGGCGGCGTGACTGATTTATAGAGGGTGCGTTTGCGCTCTTTTTCGTGATTGGCGGGGAAACTCTGTTCGATACGTGTAGGGGCGACCCGTGACCATAGGCAAACTAGGCAGCTGCCTAAGGCGCTGCTGGACCGGGTGCCTGGTGATGATGTCACGGGGCGCTGGGGTGTCCCGTGATGATGTCACAGCCATTGACGGCCGTGCTGGCGGGGTCGCTGGTAGTTCCTCTGCCTAGGGCGCCAGCTGCCGCAGCCGGCCTCAGGCCGCTCCTGGATATGTGACGGAACGTGGCGTGAGGCGATTTTCCTGCTTTTCTCTTTTTGCCTGGCAAAGCACCGCACAGCCAAGGTGTCATTTACGTATCAGTTGTGGTTCCTG